CATGCGCGCTTTGCCCGCTTGCAGCCAGGGGTCATTTCGTAAAAAAAGAGCTGCAGGAGTTCATTAGCCTATCTAATAGGGTATTAGCATAATAGCTCATTAGCATATGCCATGCTCCCTGACATCATCGGAAGTGATGTCACAAGGCGAAGCAAAAGGGGGGGTGGCACCTTCAAAAGCCTCCCCGTCCCTGCCGGCCTTCTCTAGAGAGAAGGAGCGCAGGGGCGGGGAGCTGGGGGCGGGGCTTGCCTAAGATCACCCAGCTAGCTTCAAGTGGGGAATCAAACCTGGTTCTCCAGATTAGAGTCTGCCATGCTTGACCACACCACCACGATGGCTCAGCTGAGTAGACAATAATGACCTTGACAGACCAATGGTCTGATTTACTATAACGCAGCTTCATGAGTTCATGTGTCCTGGGCTCAGACTTGTGCCCACTTCTGGGCTGGCCGGAGCGGCGCTCCGATACGCTCCGGCCCCAAATGACCCCTGCTTGCAGCAATGAAATCGCCCGGAATTGACATCATTGTGTTGGGGACATCGGGTGTGTGTGTGTGATGCTGACAACCCATTGACGATTGATTTCCCAATCCCAATTGGGAAACCTGACTGTTGTGCTTCTTGCTTGCAGGCAGATGTCTCTTGGCGCAAAGAGAGGATCCTGAACGTGCCACTCTGCAAGGAGGACTGCGACCAGTGGTGGGAGGACTGCAAAGGCGAAATGACCTGTAAAGAGCATTTGTGCCCACTCCTGGGCTGCCGGAGCAGCGCTCCGGTGCGCTTCGGCCCCAAATGACCCCTGCTTGCAGCAATGACTTTACCCGGAATTGACATCATTGCGTCGGGGACGTCGGGGGGGTGTTTGTGATGCTGACAACCAATTGACAATTGATTTCCCAATCCCAATTGGCAAACCTGACTGTTGTGCTTCTTGCTTGCAGGCAGATGTCTCTTGGCGCAAAGAGAGGATCCTGAACGTGCCGCTCTGCAAGGAGGACTGCGACCAGTGGTGGGAGGATTGCAAAGCCGACATGACCTGTAAAGAGAACTGGCATAAGGGATGGAACTGGACCACGGGTGAGGCGGGGCCAGGGGGGCTGTTCAGCTGTGGAAGAGCTGCCTGTGTGTGCTTCCCATAGGGTTGTCCACTCCCACTTGGGAAATACACTTGGGAAATACCTGGGGGTTTGGGGGAGGAGCCCGGGGAGGGCGGGATTTGGGCTCAGGACAGACGAGCTGCCCAAGCCCCCCCCCCGGCTGGTTTGCAAAGACAGACTGATCATAGTGTGCACGCACACACACGGGAGGGTACCGAGTCACATCTCTGCAAAGCCCACGTGGTCTCTCTTCGATTCAGTTGGCCATCCCTGAAGAATCACAGAATCATAGAGTTGAGAAGGGGCCATACAGACCATCTAGCCCAACCCCTGCCCCATGCAGGACCAGCCTAAAGCATCCCTGACAAATATCCATCCAGCCCCTTCTTGAAAACTGCCAGTGAAGGGGCGCCCACCACCTCCCTGGCAGCTGATTCCATCTCTGAACCACTCTGGCCGTGAAAAAGTCTTCCCTAATATCCAGCCGATACCTTTCTGCATGTAATTTAAAACCGTTGCTTCGGGTCCGGTCCTCTGCTGCCAACTGGAACGGCTCCTTGCCCTCC